ATACGTCTATGGGCTCTTGTACCCGTCTGCCTTTATCTCTCTCTCTATCTCTCTCTCTATCTCTCTATCTGTTCTCTTGTTCTTCCTCTCTCCCTTTACCCGATCTTCCATAGCCCATGTTCTCTGTCTATTCTATCTCTCGGAGCTTCGTCTACTCGCAGACGATCGCGCCGCATGCTACCTATGTATACGTCTAGTTTAGTCTACGGGATTCTACACTCTATACAGACAGCCAAATACTAATTAATTCTCTGCAAACACGAGGACGCCGTTAAGCAAGCGGAAGATCCCTTTTCTTCTTCTATCCGATAGACTCCTCTTTCACTCTCTCCTATAGTTTTGCCATTCGCATTCGCAGTAATCTCCTGAACGATCTCTCGATTAGCTCTGTCTACTATCTTTTTTCTCTTTCACTCTTTCTTATCTAAGGAAGAAGTAGAAGAAGCCCTACCGAGCTCTAATCTTGTTCAAATGTATAGATATAAACTATTATTATTTTTTTCCTCCCTTCTCTTTTATGTGAGATCATCAAGAAACACTAATCGTAGTAAAGTATTCCAAGTGTTGAGAATTTAACGTTTTAGTTTAAAAAACTTATATAAGAGGTGAAAAGTGTTTTGCGAAGAGATGAGACACACGATGTTTTAAGGATAGAATATAGAATGTAGAATTAGAGTTGCCGGTTGAAATACCGAAAGAGAGAGAGAGAGAGAGAGAGAGAGAGAGAGAGGGTAAAGGGAGGAGAGGGTGAGACAGAGTTAAAGCAAAGAGAAGTCAGTGACATTTATTTCAGAGAGCTAGGATGGCTCTTGGTAGCGACCGGAGGCGACGGCGGACACACCGGCGGCGTTGTAAACGAGCAAAGTTTCGAACCCAATATGCTGTCTCCACGTATGGGAGCCCACATTCAACCTGTCAAGGTGCGACGACGATGACGACGACGACGATGACGACGACTACGACGACTACGACTATTACAGATCACAGTAGTGGTGTACACGTGCTGCTACCACCTCTTACACCCTCGTCTCCGGTAATGCCAGACGGGCAAACCGGGACAAACTTTCGAACTGGCACAGACCGTCTGGCACACTACCACCGTCCTCCTCCTCCTTCTCCTCCTCTTCTTCTTCTTTTTCTTCTTCTTCTTCTTCTTCTTCTTCTTCCTCCGGAAGGAGAACCTGCGAATTCCCAATATGTTATTATACGTCTGTCGGCACCGTTTTGTCTGTCTAAGCTCAATGTCTATCGTAGAACAAATGTAACTGAACAAGATAGAGAGAGAAAAGGGGGCGGGGAGAGTCTACACTCTAGGAATTTTCTTTTTCTGTACGTCCTGCTGCATCAAAGATAACCATATTTTTGCATATTGAAAGAAATATTCGATATTTTAATTGATACGTTTCAAAAACAAAACAAAAAAAAAATACAAAGATTGAAATAAGTTCTTACAGTTTGATAGGAAAGGGGAAAAGAAAAAAAGAAAAAAAGAAAGGAAGAACATAATCAAGGTTGACGACGATGAATAAATAGAAGGATGAATTGACGGAGGCGACGAATGAGCGTCGTACGCATTCGAATACGCGCAAGCATCAAAAGAGCTCGTACGAAGATTAAACGATGCTAGTGGAGTTAGACGTCGAGTAGTACCGTGTTCGTCGTGTAACTTGCCGATTGGCCAGTTGGTGGGCGTTAATCGGTAATCGTCAACACAGTGCATTGCCCCTCCCGTCCAAACGTTTTGCCCCATTTGCCTATTTTCCTAAGAGGGATGGATCCTAACTTTCGAAACGTTATTCGGATAAAACCTATTTCGTGGTACAATCGTAAGATGAGATCTGGGTCGTGACACCTGGAAGGAACGAGAATAGTTTTGCTTTGCAGACGGTTAACATCGGTCGTCGTTTCGTATGAAAGTTTGAAACGACGACGACGACGACTACGACTACGACTACGACGAGGACGAGGACGAGGACGAGGACGAGGACGGGGACAATTACGTCGTCTCTTTCTATACCCTCCCCCCTTTCCCACCCCTCCCCGCCCCCCAAACCCTCTTTTGACTCTCTATCTATATACTTGTTCTCTTGCAATTCTTGCATTATCGATCGATCGACGTAGTAGGTAACCCAGACGTTGTCTGGTTAGTTCTATCGTTTCCGAAAAAGAAAAGTATAACAAGATATATCATACATTATTATTATACAAAATCGATCGTCCATTTTCTCTCTGTCTGTTATTCTCTCTCTCTCTCTCTCTCTCTCTCTCTATTTCTCTTTTATTCTCGTTCGGTCCACGTAAATATATAAGCTAGGAACGTAGCTCGTTAGTCTCGTGCACTATAGCGGAGACGGGAGCATGTATTTTAATCTCCTTCGTCAGCTTTTTAGACGAAAAGAGCAAACCGACGAGGTATTAAAGTTTCAACGTAATTCCATTCGAAAGGTGGATTATGTTTTCGCAGAAAATTCTCTCCTCCTCTCCTGGTTTCGTCTGGTCTCGTTTCGTTTCGTTTCGTTTCGTTTCATTTCGTTTCATTTCGTTTCTCTTCTCTTCTCTTCGTCTCGAATAGAACAAAGTCTACTAGTCCGTTTTCTTCTCATCATGATTCGACTATATGCCGACTGTGTCATGGCATAGATTATAACGAGCGGCCGCGACAATGATGTGTTATAGCATATAAGTGGTCTAGACGATCCAGATGAGATGGATGTATCTCATCGTTGTAGTTGTCGTTGAATCGTTGTTGGCGGTTTTGTGCGTCACAGTGTCGACGACGTAGTAGTCGGCCATATAGCGACTGTGTCGCTATTTGACACACGACTTTGTTATATTTACCAAGAAACAAGTGATTTTCCGCATTGACCGTTGTCGTCGTCGTATGTGTTGTCTATATTTTCTCTCGTATTATCTTTCATGAAATTTTTCTTATTCTCTAACGCGGTTGGAGGAACAAATTGGACTTGTTAATTCTTAGCTATGACGATTTTTCTTAAGTAACAAGTCGCAGTTAATTTCTTCTTTCAGCTAGCTCGTTTTCTCGATCAAAGCGACGACGAGTTCATTCGCCGTCTCGTTTCTTTTTCCACTTCCCTTCTTTTTTCCATTTCCGTCTACTACCTCAGTTTTCCTATTTCCGTCCCTTTTTTTCTCTTTTATCCAAGTAAGTCAAGTGATGGCGGCGGCAGTAGACAGGGCCTCATTTTCAAGCCAGACGGGTACAGTACTTGTCCCAAATACGCTAGAAAGACTTTTTTCGTCGGCTTAAAATTGCCAGGGTACCTAGCTCCGAAATGAATTTTTTTTTCTTTCCTTTTCTTTTCTTTTCTTTTCTTTTCTTCTTATTTTTTTAATCTCTTTCCCCTTCCACCCTTTCTTTACCCGTGAATCTTTATCTTAGTCTACCGAAGCTAACATTTTTAATTAACTATTCATACTATTACTTAGGAGACGCGAACGAGCTCGCGGACTAAATGGCAAAGTTTTTGGTCTCGTTTTTGGGTAGTATCTCCTCGTTCTTATTTTTATTTTTATTTTTTTTTTGTTTTGCGACGTTTTCAAGACTGACCGGGAAAAGAAAACTACTGCATTTACCTACCAACGAAATAACGAGTTACTCGCTTAGAAAATTCTAATCCTAGGGCATTGTACGCTGCGACGTGCTCGACGTACTCGAAATCTTTCTCGGCTGAGCTTTTTTGGTGGCTGCTACTGCTGCTACTGCTGCTACTGCTTTTAGAGAAGGAGACGGAGGAGGAGGAGGAGAAGGTGGAGGAGGAGCAGGCGTACCACCACCCATAATTTCTCTCATTTTCCACGATGCGCTCTTCTCTACTAGGCGTTTCTTTTTCTCTTTCCTTTTAGCCAAGTAAGTCAAGTGACGGCGCCGGTGGAATAGGGCCTCATTTACAGCCCAGACGAGGGAGTACACTTGCCCCAAATACCAGCTGAAGAGAGAATATACCCGGGTGGTGGGTTCCACCGTAGAGCTGGTTAAAATCTGGAAACGGTTCCCTCTTGACGATAAGAATCCTTCCCGAAAGAGACACAAACCCTTTCTCTATCTCTCTCTCTCTCTCTCTCTCTCTCTCTTTCTCTTTTAATCTATGATTTTTAGAAGACCCGATTCTCTTCTACCAAAGCTGAATTCTTCAAACTCCGAGATATAAGATTCGTGGTGCCTCGTGAGGATGATCCGCGGAAGCGTGACCCTCTGAAAATGAAATAACCATAGTTTCTCTCTCTCTCTCTCTCGCTCTAATTCGAATTAGCATAAATCCCACCGAGAAGAGCGGGAAATTTATTTAAACTTTCAAGCTCGTAACTCTCCGTCGTGTCGATAAAACCGCTTCGTTTCGAGTTACGTTGGCTGCTGCTCTTTGAAGGGAGGAGGGGGGGGGGGTAAGAGGTAAAGATTATAACGAGGACGAAACTTATGAGGGACCAGGGGTACCGGGGGGGACTGAAGGGGGGGGGGGTTTAGAAAGGAGAGTCGAGGGAACTAGCTGATACTAAAAATTTACCGAGTCGCATTCGCGGAAAAAGGTCGGGATACGATTTGCATTTTCTATCGCTGGCAGACGACCGAAAATCTAACCGGACGAATACTTTGATCGTGCAAACTTGCCCAGACAGTTTATCAAAACCCCAGCGACGAATTACGTCTCGTCCAAGTATAGGAAAGGATTTGCATAGATATTTCAGAAACGAGGTTCATTCTATTTTACAGCTGGCGCGTATTAGCGCCTTCCAACCCCTCCCACCCCTGTCCTCCCTTACACAGACGAGATTACCCCGGCTTCTTCTTACTAACTCCAGATTCCCCTACCACCACCTTATCCCTCTTCCCGTTTCCTCCTTTTGATTGGTGTCTCTCCTCTTCCTTTCGACTCGAATTTTCAACTGCAATTTATCATCGTTCTCTATTGTATATAAGAATTTTGTCTATTTCATTTATCATCCTCTTCTTTCGATCTGTTTTTTTCTTCTCTTTTTTACAGATAGCTATATCGAACAATTCAAACAGGAGTGGCTTTGGTGCGGTTGAAACTGATTTTCCTAAGATCGAGTTGGATTCTAACGTTGAGAAGAAACAGGCAAGATGGCGTAAAACACAACAACGGTACAAACAAATTATGAAATAAATAAAATTGATTTCATTAAAAGAAGAAGAATTAAAAAAATCTAATCTAATCGCAAAATCAGGAATGGCATTTTTCAATGATTCAATTTATTATATATATAGAGAGAGAGAGAGAGATGTCTTTTTTTCTATTAATAAAATTTTAACGAAAATCAATTGTCAAATTTCACAATATAAATAATTAAATAAATAAATGTGATAAATGCAAACGGGGGAGGCAATTTTTTTGTAAATATTTGTACACTTTATCGAAGAAGATCTTTTTATAATTTGTGAAAGAATACGAGAAGAAGTAGTCAAATAAAACGATGATAAAAGTAAAAGAAGAAGAATAAGAAGAAGAAGAAGAAGAAGTAGAAGAAGAAGAAAAAAAAGAAGAGATCGCTTCTGGATCCATAACGAACGTAGAGCTTCTTCTCTAGCAGGTCCGCGCCCGTTCTCCGACGATATTTATAAAGCAAACTTGGCGGTGCAAAGACCTCGCAAGGGAGTACGAACGAGGTAGAAAGAGAAAAACTGAGTTGGAGTAAGCTGTAAGTTTAGGCCAAGCCCTTAACTCCTTTGGCACATCAACGCTGTCTTCATAATAAACTCAGAGCACTACCGTGGATCGTTACTTTTCCCGACACCGTAACAAAATCATCCGGTCCATCAAAATCTGTTACGGTTATTCGATAAATTTCTTATTTTATTGTTATTCTTGTTTTTTTCTTCATTGATATTTCCACAAAAATGCAAATTCATCATTTTGATATTTTCATTTTGAAGAGAATATGTAATATCGTAAATTTAATTTAAACCTTTTCATCTTTTTAATCAAGAACAATGAATCGATACGTCGTGATACTTTGAAGAAGATGATAACTAGTCAAATTTAACCCTTTCACTCCGATGGCCGTATATATACGCCTTAGTAAGATGACCAATAATGTACGAAGAGCTTATATATACGTTCCTCAAAAGTACACGATCAAATATGAAAAAACAAAACGCTTCGTATCCAGCGATTATATTTTGTCTCAATCATTCCGGAGCGAAAGGGTTAATCGTTTTATTAGTGCCCTCGGGGGTTTTTTGAAAAATCTTTGTCGAAGTGTGCCATGAAACGTGCTAAAGCAACGTCACGTTGCTAAAACACATATTTCTTTATAAAGCGTATTACAAATTGACGATTGGGAACAAAATTAGCGAAACGTTTTTTACCACACCACTCGAAAAGCGCAATCGCGTTGCGATCGTGTGGCACTAAAAAAAACGATTAAACTCGATAAATTATTTGTGTTTTATATCTTTATTTTGTATTTCCTATTATTATTATTATTGTTTAATCATCCTCCTACATTATTTTCGTATTTGCTATTAATACAACCTGATTTGCCGCTAAATTCTTATTACATATCATTGCTGTTTGTATAATAAACTTCGAACACTACTGTAAATTGTTACTTATCTGACACCGTAATCATCCGGTCCATGAAAACCTGTTACGGTCATTGGAAAAGTTAACATTCTTTCGTCGAGAAAGATATTAATATCTTTCCCAAAGACTGCCATCAAACGGCAGGTCGGATATTAATATCCTTTGCGTAAGACGCCGCATTCAAAAGTGTGAATAAAACACTTACTTACCAATATTTGAATTTTTTTTTATTTTTTTTTTTTTTTAAATAATACAACATTAATTCGTTACAACAACCATTTCTGAGTTATTTTTAACGTGGTCTTAACGCATCGTAAATCCTGTTGTTATATTTTTGTTCAAAGCAAACAATCCTGGACTGACTTCTCGTGCATTTGCATTTTCTGACGTATCCAATGAGTTTGTTTCTTTTTTTTTACATAAAAAATCATCCTAACATTTTATGTTTCCGTTACATAAGCTTAGAGAGACTCTTTATCTCGTTAAATATTTCCTTTATCATATTTTTTGTTTTTAAATGTAAATAAATTATTGTTCGATTGTTTGCATTAGTAATATTTTAAACTGAAATCCCTCCCCCCCCCACTCACGTTTAATCTTTTTAATCGTATATACATCATTTTTTTTCTTCTAATTATTGGTTTTTCAATAGCATACAGTAGGTTAACCCATTTCTTATAAATCAATTCTTTTCAATCGTAATCATATTATTAATTTGAACGTGTAAATAATGAAACTTTGTCACTGTAATAACGATCAAATATTCCTATATTATTATTTCAACAGATTAGAGAAATTAATTGGTAATTTACAGATTGAAATGTTGACTAATGTAACACATACAGTTGTTTGACCTATGCGCTTGGATTTTATTCGTTCTCGCAAGAGTAATAAGATATGTTTCGTAGTGTAGTAGGTAGAGAGACACAACGCATACCGTTTTTAATGAACTTGCTGGTAGTCATGCGACTGCTGGGCCTCCTCGTCCGCGAAAATTAATGAAACCGAGGACGCGCGAATACCGTTTTCTCGCGCGAATGCTTGTTACACCCGTGTGTTTCTTGCTCGACGGTGCGCAGAAAAAGCCATAAAGTTGCTTGACAAATGGCAGGAAGCGGCGCGTTGACAGCCTCGACGAAATGGATTGGACGCTTTAATCGTCGAACTCGGTCACTACTTTGTTAATGCCTTCAAGTTCTTTACTTTATTTTTTTTAATTAATCACCTTCTTCTTCTTCTTCTTCTTCTTTCTATTCCTATTCTTATTTTTTTCTCAGAAAAAAAAAACATGAATTAGAAAAAGTATATAGAGATATTGGTTTTTATTTTTTTTTTGTTTTGTTACGTTTTTAACATTAAAAATATCCGTCTCTTCCATTAAACGATACCGTATCGAATCCATCTATCGAATCTGTTCTAACTAACAAATAAAATCATACGATGATGTTATTTTCGGTACGCGTTTAAAGTACCACGTGGACAAGTAGAGTACTACTACTACGTCTTTAAGTCGAGTGGAACGTTCTGCGGTACTACAAAAGCATCTTGAGTCGATGTTCAAAGGCTCATCGTGCAAGACTAGGACAACTAACGAGTTAACCGTCACACAAATCATAGTGGCAATAGCTTGTACTCACAATGGATGTATAACGTGGTTTTACAATAAGATTGATAGGATAGGAAGGAGAAGTAAAACATGTCTTTAAGAAAATACAATAAAATTAAATCAAATTAAATAAAACTAAATAAAAATAAAATAAAATGATCAGTCAGTCAGTCGGTTGGTCGGTCGATTCGTTGTCATCATCATCATTATCATTATCATCATCATCATCATCATCATCATTATCATCATCATCATCATCATCATCATCATCGTTGTTGCCGTCGTCTCGGATCCGCGCTTCCGAGCGCTGCAATGCGTAGGCGGCTAAGTTACCGCAGGCGGTGCATCATTCCACGGATTTACTTGGCGGGTGCATTAATCGGCCTCTTATTCGAGCCAACTTCTTTCGTTTTTCTTTTTTTGTCTTTACTTTTCTTTTTGTTTTTTTTTTTTTATTTTGTTTTTCTCTTTTCTTTCTTCCCCTTCCATACAAGTAACCCAAAGTCAACATCTCCGAAGGAAATTACGCGAGAATTTACGAGGCAGACCGATGCACAAATCTGCGATAATAACTGCGCATACGTTGGAGGAACGTACATCTATCAACGAAACGTCCTCGAGACGTAGATCCTTCTTCTTCTTCTTCTTTCTTCTTCTTCTTCTTCTTCATAGTAGTAGTAGTAGTCGTTGTCGTCGTCGTCGACGGTCGAACTTATGACTCTGATAACAACACCGATGACGGTATGATTTATCGACGAAGATTTTCCGAATCTCTTACGGGCATTTTCTATCTCTTCTTATTCTCTTCCTCTTTCTCTCTCTCTCTCTCTATCTCTCGATATCTCTTCTCTCGATCATTATTATTACCTCTACGCGAAGAGTTTATAAATTTTTCTTATAACTTTATTTTCATATTTTGAATAATATGATTTTCAATGATAATTAGAATGAATCAAAAGTTCGTGCGTTTTTTTGCGTGTGTGTATGTGTGTGTGTTGTTTTAGATAGTGTTATTTTTTTTTCTTGAAATCAATAACATTACTTTATACACACAAGTGAAATTCTTTATCTCTCATTTACCCCCCCACTCCCACTCCCCCTCCCTCTCCCCATTCCTACATACCCAATACCAATTAATACAGTTTTAATTTGTTTTTGGTTTACGTTTGCATAATTTTACGCGATAAAACTGAAATTGAAAATCAGTTCTTTCATGGAATTTATCTCTATTTGGTAAAAATCATAATTGAATATACTTCCAAAATTAAAATAACAAAAATCAATTATTCTCTGTAATATACAAATTGATGACATTTTCGTCATTTGGCTGTGGATGATTCTTTGGAAACAAAAATGACGAATTTTCGTCAAGCGAACGAATATGTGTTAAGGAATCCTACTGATTTTGCGATGTAGTAACGAAAAGGTAGAAAAGGTGAAGGAAGCGGAGGTGGTGGTGATGGTGATGGTGGTGGTGATGGTCGACGCGAAGAGTAGTCGAAGGAAGTCGCGAAGGGGAATGAGTAAGAAGGTAAAGAGTAAAGGGGAATCGTCTAGAGAACGAATATAAGTGGAAGGAAGGAAGGAAGGAAGGGACGATGCTACGAATGCACCGGTATACCTACAGTAAAACGGTATTTGGGTCCGCAAAAGGAGAACAAAAGAACAACACACGCTTGCATTGGGACGGTTGGCGACGGTGGTGGCGACGACGTTCAGGAATCTTCGAAAACGTCGCTGACTAATTTCCAGTCGCATCTTTTCCCTCTCTCTCTCTCTCTCTCTCTTTCTTCCTTTAATATTCTTTTTTTATCCTCTTTTTCTTCCTCCCTCCGTTCCCTCCTCTCCTTATATATATATATATATATATATATATCTCTCCGACTTTCGAGTTCGCGAGTCACGATAAAAAGTCAATTTTATACCACCACCGTGTACCTGGAGAACAGTTAATAGCGTCTACCAGGTCTCGCTCGAACATCCAAAACTATTTTCGACGGTCGTTCACGGCCTTTATGGGCCTTATAAAAATGGCACCACGCCAGCACGGGGTCCCGGATGGTGGAGAGCAGGAGTCAGGTACCG